TCTTTGCGCATTCTGACTGTTCTGGGCGAGAGCAGTCGAACCCCTCTTTCAAAAGAATAAACAATGATAAACATGAAAAAAAAATTGACCATGTTTTAGCAGCGAAATTTAGCCCAACTGAAATTCCGGTCGGGGGACCTGAGTCCGACCGGCCTAGTTGCATCCGGGCTGGTCCAACCGGCTGGTTGCCGGCCCAACAGTGATTTGTGGTACTTTGTATGCCTGTTTCTGCCGTTGACTTGTACAGTGTGACAACGTAATGAAACATGCGCATGTTTCTATTTGTTTCTTTTCTGTATGCCGCTTTCTGCGGTAGACTCTTACGGCGTCACAACATGTGCATGCTGTTGTTTGTGGTACTCGATGAACTCAGGAATGGGGAGAAAGTTGTGCTTAACAAAGCAGCAGGGCATTTGCTCCGGACAAAGGCTGCATCATCAGATGAAGGTGGAGTCGCTGCGGGGTTTGCTGTGCTGGATAGTCCATATTTAGTCTGACACGACCAGGGGCTGATCTTCATCCTGAGGTTTGTGATCATCAGTCCCAAGATAACAAAGAAGAAACGGTGTGTGTGTGTGTGTGTGTGTGTGTGTGTGTGTGTGTGTGTGTGTGTGTGTGTGTGTGTGTAGATGTGTGTGAAAACACATAATAGTCCAAAAAAAAAAAAAAAAGGAAAAACACATAATAGTTAGTTTGTGTACAGCATAGTTGCACTCCGATCACTGCTGTCCAAGGAGATAACCATGTGCAAAGATTTCAAGACTGTTTTCACATTGGAAAAAAAAAAAGTTTTTTTTTCACATAAAAAAAAGACAGTTGTCACATAGCTCTTTAGTGGACAAAAGAAAACAAAAGAAACACAAGTACAAAACTGCAAAGAAAAAGGGCAGCAAACAGGAGACAAACAGGCGCACAAGGGAGGAAGAAGACGACAAACAGCAGACAAACAAACAATCAGGGAAAAAGCAGCAAGGCAACACATAGGCTGGAGGTCACGGGGGGCGGCAGGAGGGTGGACAACCCAAAGCGAAGAAAAAAGACTGATGATGATTAGATTGTTTCGTCGGAGTTGCACCGCTGCTGAACCCTCGAGAATCTGCAGAATTCTCATATTGATGCTTTTGGGCGTTTTGGCTGGGCTACCAGCCGGGCCGCCGAGGTCATTACTTGTTTGCCCGGCCAGCCCGGCCATTCAAGGACCAAGGAATCTCCCAGCCAAAAAAAAAAAAAAAAAAAAAAAAAAAAAAAACTATGTTATGGCAGTTATGCTGCTTATGCAGAGAAATAAACTGCACATTGAACCCTTTTTTTTTTTCTTTATTTTTTTCAAGGAAAGGTGGCCAACCATTGCTGTATGATCAGGCACTCCGGCCGGGTTCATACGGCGGTTGCTTTTTTGATTACTCCAGCCGTAAAACGAGTCCGGCGTCCCTCACATTAGTAACAAAGTTTGCACAACTTTGCAGAACAAACAAAGGCAGAGCACTCAGTGGAACCGCTGTATCAAGAGTCAAGACTCAAGACCCTGAAAGGTGATCTGAGGCGACCTCAGATCACAAATTTCACCTAGTCTTTGGGTCATGAGCCCTTTGACCATCGTTGAAAGCGGACAGCCGACAAGCAACACCGCAAGTGGAACATGGCAGTGAGGCAACGACTTTGCGAAGCACCATGCACCGTTACTGGGGCTGCCCGACTGAACAGTGTGAAAGCTAACTTGCGTGGAACGACAGCACAAGCAGACTGACAGCAAGGGACGCACACGACGAACCACAGAGCTGCGCTATGAAAGTGGCCAGTCGACATGGCGCAGAAGCGAAACGCACGGAAAGACGGGGGGCGCAAACTGGCAGCAAGGTGGCAATGCAGCACAGCACAGAGCGACAGTGACGAAGGCTACCGAACGACACAGCACACAGACAAGCTGCAGCGAAAGACATGTCAAGCCGGTGGGCAGCAAGGCAGCAAAGGAGCGCAGACAAGGCAGTTCACACCTGCATCGTTGACAAAAGCAATCCTTCAACGACTCACGCCATAAGTCGAACCCCGGCAGACTGTTGGTTCCCATCACCCGCTGAGCCACGGAGTCACTGCGGTGAACATCCTTTATCACCCATAGGAAACAGAGACATCCCGAACTGAGCGGCTCAACTAATAGTGCTGCAGGCACTCCAAACACCCGACCAATGACTGTTAAGCACCATAGTTGTGGCGCATCTCGGTGCGCGGACTTGCGCACGGCGCAGCGCACCCGAAAAATTAAGGTCAAAAAAAAAAAAAAAAAAAAAAGTTGGGGTTCCATAATTTCCTACGGCACCCTCCCTGGAAAAAATGTCCAACTCGCCGCGCGAGTTCCGAAAATGTCCGTGCCCCTTGGCCCAAAATTTTTTTTTTGGGCAAGGGTTGTCGAATTCTGAATTCTTTAGGCTGCTACCCCACAAATTTCAAAATTGAAAATTGCCGATTATGAAAATAGGGCTCATTGAGAGTCTAGGGTTTCCTTTTTGGGTGGGGTACGATAACTGGGCATCATTGCAGAGGTGGACAAATTTGCAAGAAGGGTATCATTGCCCAGTATTGCCGTTGTCACGCTGTCTAGCAGATGGCACACGTAATGTTTGCTGAATCCAGCCGGCCACCAATATATGCTGAAGTTTGGTGTTCAGGTCTGCATGTCGGCAGTTATGGGTTAGGAATAAAATGCCCGTAGCTCTCTCGTTTTTTCTTTTTGTTTTCTTCTGAATACGTACAGTGGCCATGAAGATGCCTGTGCCTCTCTCGTTTTTTCCTTTTTGTCTTCTTCTGAATACGTACAGTGGCCCAAGGGGCCTCTGGCCACTACTCACCACATCCACAAAAGACATACCATATAATGGTGTATGGCTCCATGTTTAAGCAGCAGATTCATTCAGATGTTTTTCATTCGGTGAGTACCACTGAGTGGTGGAGCTAGGCCCTGAGAATCACGTGGAGACACGAACAGGGTCTAGCTGAATTGGTGACCCATAACTCTGGAGCCACAGACCTGAACTCGGCCCCATACAATATATTGGTGGTCTGCTCCCACCTCTCTCATCGTGACGCGGCCACCCTGCTTGCTGGATCATAACCAATCCCTCCACAATGACGAAGTGCCGAAGTGCATTGTGAAGGGCATTGCTGGAGTCATATGAGTTACCTGCAGGGGCCCCTAAATTGATGAAAAGGGAACCCTTTGGTCTCTCTCTCTCTCTCTCTCTCTCTCTCTCTCTCTCTCTCTCTCTGTGGCACAAATAAATGTCTTATTTATTATTTAATTTATTTTTACTTTTGTATTTTTTTAGTGCCGAAGTGCATTGTGAAGGGCATTGCTGGAGTCATATCAGTTACCTGCAGGGGCCCCTAAATTGATGAAAAGGGAACCCTTTGGTCTCTCTCTCTCTCTCTCTCTCTCTCTCTCTCTCTCTCTCTCTCTCTCTCTCTCTCTCTCTGTGGCACAAATAAATGTCTTATTTATTATTTAATTTATTTTTACTTTTTTATTTTTTATTATATATATATATATATCTATATATATATATATACAGGGTTGCCGGCGTTCGGGACGGGCCGAACGCCCAAACCCGAACGCCAGAACGTTCGACACCCCCTCTCGACGCGTTCGGGCGTTCGGCCGAACGCGGACCTCAAAAAAAAAAAAAGAATTCAAAAAAATCTGAAAAATATATATGTTATGCAGAAGAATAAACTAAACAACATTTGCCTCAACGTTACATCCAAATTCTTTACCAAACTTGAAAAAATAATAATAATAATAATAATAATAATAATAATGACAATTAGATAAAATAAAAGGAGAATGAAATTATTGAGTGGGCGAGCACGTTTTTGACACCGCCATCTTTGGCGCTTTTTCATTTTTTTTTGACTGTGAAAAATGCCATGAAAATTTATATATGTGTATATTACATAATAGAGAATCTACAAATAAAGTTTGAAAAAATAATAATTTTGTTCATGGCCCGAAATAAAGGAAAAACAAAAAGTGAAAAGAGAGAAAAAACAAATTAGTGAGTGGGCAAACAAGTTTTGACACCACCATCTTCGCCGATTTTTCATTTTTTTTTGGCTAAGCAGAATGGCTTCAAAATCTAGAGGGAGGTACCTTACATCCCAAAGAACTCGCAAAAAAACAATTCAAAAAAAAGTAAAAATATTTAGGTGCCAAAATATTTTTTTGCGGGGTCCGAACCCCTTCAGGTTCGGGCCCCGTACGGGGACCCGAACGCCCGAACGTTCGGGGTTCAGCTTAGGGGCCTCCGTACGTTCGGTCTGGCAACCCTGTATATATATATATATATATATATATATATATATACATATATATATATATTTACGCACCTGGCGCATCTTCCACAGCGCGCGCACTGTGCATTGCGCACCACACTGTGCACTGCGCACTGCCTACAGCGCACAGTGCGCGCGCTGGAATTCCAGCGCACAGCGCACTGCGCACCGCACCGCCCCGCACTGTGCACTGGTGCGCTGCAAGTATGGTCAAAAGTAGTTGGGGGGGGAGGGGACGAAAAAGCCGTTTTAACTTTGAAATTGTGAAGTTTGAAGTTTTAGTTACAAGGAAAAAAAACGAAAAATGAAAAACGAAAAATTAAAGCGTCTTGAAAGAAACTCAAATGTAGTGACCAAAACTGACCTAGAAAGCAAAGAACCTGACCTAGAAAGTGCTACAATTGTTCGAAAAAAAAAAAAACAAAAAAAAAACTCCGAAGTGGCTGTTACTCCACAGCATGCGTAGGTTAAAACACCCACCTCGGTCAGTTTACAGTTTACCTCTCGATAAGTAGGTTGGCACAAGTCAATTTAAGAACAGCGGTTTTCTGTGGACAATAGGCTCGAGTCTAAATCGATTTAATCCAATCGAAATAGAGTCGATCCCTGCATCCTACCAATTCACAGCATCGATGACCACCATGCACGACTCTCGCATATCGTCCTGTCGACGGCAAAACCTGACATCCATCCAAGTGGTACTGACGATGTTGACAACAGCTGGCAGCAATGTACACTTGGTGCTCCCCATGCTCTCAAAAGATTTCCAATCGGTGCAAAAACAGTCGCAGAAATGGTTCCAATAAACCCATTGTGTGAAGGTGCGATCACGCGAAGACGTTCCTGTCAAAGTCGAAAGACAAACAATTCCGGCACGGCAGATCTGAAAAACTCGATTCATACATGGTCATTGGTTAATGGGGTTAACCATGTAAGACACAGAAAGCACAATTTGAGGGGGGCGGGTGTTGAATTTTATGCTTTTTCGGGACTTCTTTTTTAGCCTGTTTTAATTCTAGCTAAAGGCGAAAAGGGGTGGGGGGGGTTGCTGTGTGCCAAATTTGGTGTCTACTGGACCATTGGAAATACCTCTGCCTTTGGGGGGGGGCGGTGGGGGGTGTAAATCCTCTGCCGACATTTCTGAGATATCTATTTTTTTTCTATGCTGCGGATACACGCCCGGGTGCCTGGCCGGGCATGACCCCCGGGCAGGGTTCCGGACAGCCTCAGCGCAAAAAAAAAAAAAAAAAAAAAAAAAAAAAAAAAA